CATGTTGGATATAATGGACATGTCGAATATGTCGGACAAATATATCGGGGGACATGTCGGTTATATCGGTTGATTTTTCAGTCTGAAAAATTGGTTGATTTTTTTATTTTTTACCTAATCAAGTTTTGGCTTAAATTCGTGATTATCTTAATATTATTTCCAAAGACAAAACCCGATCAGTTAGGGGAAATGAAAAAAAAGACCAAAGTCGTTTTCGTCGCTCATCTTCTTTTTCTCCCTTAATATCAGTCTCTCCCCGAACTATTTCTTTGACATCAATATCGGGCGATCTTCTCTCTCCTAAAATACCAATATCGGACTCCTCTTTTCTCATCTCTTTCCTTCAACATCAACCCTAAGCATCATAAGTTATTTACTTTTTAATATGTTTAGACAATAGAATTTAGTAAGTACATTTAGATTTTATTTATGATATTTATATTACATATATGCACACTATCCGATATGACAATCCAATATTTTTTCATGTCCCCTGACATATCCTCAATTTTCGCTATCCGATATGAATTTTAGTTGTCAGACATGAACCCAACATCCGATATTTAAAACCTTGCTCCTTACCACAGCAGCCCTCTTCCCTACATGTTCTCATCCTCACCATGGATGCCCTCTTCACCGGTTCGACGCAACAGTCCTTTTCACCGTCCTTTCATTTTGTACAGTACTTTATCACGTGTGCGATTGTTATGTCTATTTTATGCTTAGGATATCTATAAATCATCAAATATTCATTTGTAAAATTTTTAGATTTCTTCAATTTTTTAATAATTATAAATTTAAACTGGACCGTTTTTTACTTTGCGCTTTTTGCCTAAAGCCCCAAAAACCTTGAGCAGTGCCTCACCATTTCGCTCCGCTTCCCGCTTTTCACAACCTTGGTTGGAGTAGAGAATTGCGAGTAGTAAGTGGTTTCGACTGGTGGTGGAGGAGCTTGACCGGAGATGGTGATGTGAGCTTCAGTGAAGGCTCAAGAGAATGTGATATCGTGATGGTGAAGAAGCTTACTGGAGAAGGATTTAGAGGTGGATTTAGATGCAGCTTTGGTGGCGGGAGGCGCCAGAGTTACCTAGAGGTGGTGGCCGAGGCGGCTGGAGTGGGTGATAGGATTAAGGTTTATTTTCATCTCGAGTCGCAAAAGCGGAGAGGAGAGAGAAGCTGAAGGTTATACTTAGGAAAATGGATCAGATTACGATCGGGTATAATACAAATCCATGTTTTTTTAAAGCATTGTTAAGCTCTTTTAAGTGCTTATTACCAACAGTTTTATGAGCTTTATGTCGCGTTTTCGAGCAGAAAGCGTTGTCTACCTTCATTTGTTGCTTTTGATGAAAGCATAGCAGTGATGTACCGGTTCCGCCTTTAACCACTTATGCAGCCAAAAAGGGGCTTTTTTCAAAACTGACGGGTTCTTTCACATGTTTACATAAATAAAACTTTATTATACATTATCATATTTGGTTATTTATTTACATACTATGATAGTTTTACTCCCCCCACCCCCAAAACAAAAATTCTTGGCTTCTCCATAGTGCGTATTGAAATTAATGAAGTAGAACAAATTGCAAAGATTTTTATACTGATGATGACTTTTGTAACTACTTCGCGACTTCGTTTACTATGCATAAATAAAATCTAAATTAAGAAAGGTGTTAAGTTTTTTGTTTCCGAAAACAGATGAAAAGTGCGCAAAGGATCAAACAACGCAATATCCACAATCATTAAATGTCTTCTTTGGAACAAAATTGTTTGTATACTCAAGCTCATGGCTCCTTTGTTTTGTGTATTCAAACTTATGGATAGTGAGGTCATTATTATATTTACAAGGCTATGGATAGAGCTAAAGGGACCATTCTAACCTCCTTTGATAAAGATAAAGCTACATATTGCTTAACATCATTAATAAAGAATAGAGATTTACTTGCATCATCCCTTGCAAAAAAAAGTCGGATATTACTCAAATTCGGTATCCTTCTCATCCAAACATTAAGGACAGTGAAAAGGTCATGACTTGTCATGTCATTCATAAGATGGTTTCTCAAGAGCATTAATACTCTGTTTGGATGGGGTTGAATGGAGAGGGGAAATAAAGTAAAATTTGGAGTTCTTTTCAAAAGGAATGGAGGGGAAGGGAGGGATGTGACAAAATTCACCTTACTTACCCTCCAATCTATATGATTTGGTTCTCCCAAAAACTCACCTTACTTATATCCCTCCATTCCCTTAACTAAACTCCCAAACATTATATCATATTTCCCCTTCCCTTTCTTTCACTTCTCATCTCCTATTTTTTTAACCAAGAATAGAGATTTACTTGCATCATCCCTTGCAAGAAAAGTCGGATATTACTCAAATTCGGTATCCTTCTCATCCAACATTAAGGACGGTGAAAAGGTCATGACTTGTCACGTCATTCATAAGATGGTTTCTCAAGAGCATTAACACTCTGTTTGGATGGGGTTGAATGGCGAGGGGAAATAAAGTAAAATTTGGAGTTCTTTTCAAAAGGAATGGAGGGGAAGGGAGGGATGTGACAAAATTCACCTTACTTACCCTCCAATCTATATGATTTGGTTCTCCCAAAATTCACCTTACTTATATCCCTCCATTCCCTTAACTAAACTCCCAAACATTATATCATATTTCCCCTTCCCTTTCTTTCACTTCTCATCTGCTATTTTTTTAACCCCTCTTTTCGTTTCCTTCCATTAGTAAACTCCCAAACATAGTGGAAGATAAAAATTAAGGGGCAAACGTATATTCAAAGACAACGTAGGATCTTTAGCCTAAATATAACCATTAGATATAAATAAATAAATAAGCTCTTCAGGTAAATTATAAATTTAAATTTTCAATTTTCAAATTCTACCATTTAACCAAGTATTTAGAAAACAAAACATCTCTTTATTGAATTTGATAACTGATTGGTGCGAGTCTTATGGTTACTTTCTCTATATGTACAAAATTTTGTCATAAAACATGTCACAAATAGTTCCTCTAACTTAAGAAATTAATTGAGTACTTTCGAGCAAGTATGTTTAGTTTAGTTTTAGTATGGCAAAGTTTTAATATTGCAGTATTTTTGAGCAAGTACGTTTTGTTTAGCTTCAATATTGTAGATTAATGATTAGAAGAGAATAAATTGGATGGTTGTCAGACTTAGTGTATTGCAAATATATTCGAGCTCTAAAAGAGAAATTTGATTAGGGAAATATTATTGACCCATCAAAGTGAATGATGTGGATACAAGTCATTAGTTTGAAAATTTTAATACTGCAATGCAGAAAATGACTTGATCCATTAGGAGAATGATTTAGCATAGAGTACCATATAAAGTGCAACAAAAGCTGGCAAAATGAGTTAAAATTTGCATCAAAGGTTAAGGATCTTAAAGTGGTGCATCTATTGGTTCTTGCTTCATCTTAGAGGAGGAGGGAGTAGATCTCAAGTTAAAAGAAAGTTGAAAGAGAACTAAGACTTTAACTACAACACGAAGAAACTCAAGATATTCCTACTTACAGATCAGATGATGATACATGTACGGATATTTCTCTAGACCGATTTATTATTAAGTCTACTTTAAAACTTTAATTCTAGTATAAATTATAAAATTGAGTTTCATTCTTTTCAAAAAAATTATATGTGGTGTGTGCATCACTTCATTTAGGAGCACGCATGGCCTTACACATAGCACGTATTAAGGACGTTGCACCTTGATTGTGCCTGGTGCATTGATAGCACTAGAGCTTGATGTAATGTTAGTGACATTTATATGCCCAATATGGAGGAAACTTTGAGCTTTTACAAGTCATTGTATAAAGTAGATGCTTTTGTTATAGCGTTACGTGATTTAGAAATTAGAACTTTAACAAGAGGATCCTATTTATTTAAGGTTCCTTGTGCTACAAGAAAATACTGTAGCATGAATTTAGGAGAACAAACCGAATTAACCAAATTCATGATCCCATAGTAACGCTTTGACTTTTGTAATAAGTAATGTGTTGTTCTTAAAAGCTATAATAGGGAAGTAGTAAAAACAGAAAATGAATGAACAGTGAGATTTACTAAAGAAGTGCTTGTAGTAATCATTTGATTGAAACCGACTTTAGCACTCTCTTAACTACCACTCTTTAACTCTTTTACATTACTTCTCTTTCCTCTAAAATCTTCTATGAACTTTAACATCGATCTAAGCCGGGAACCAAGTCCTATTCACTTGGTCACTACTGATTACAAATCCTTGAAAGGTTCCTCTTTGGATTTCGTAGACCCTTACCCTTAAGCAGATCTTGGAAAAAGAGTTCGTCATTCAATGTCTTCTATCTCTTAGTTACTAACAAACCTATACTACAATCAAGGTAATAAGTTCAAATTTTTAGATATAAACCTCAAAATGAGGATATAAGATATTTATATCATACTTAATTTCTTTCAGAATTTTTCTTATCTTCATCTGTTATTTAAAGTTCAGTGCTATCACAAGTTTAAGTACTAGACAAAACAATGGATTTGGTTGCTTTTACTTAGGCGTTGTCCACTTATACAAAGAAGAAAGAACAAAAGAAAACATGTACATTATAAAGAAAAAAATTAAGATTGGGTATTCGATATACATGCTTGACGTCAGATATACCCTAAAGAGGCCGAGAGATGTGAGCTAAGACAGTGAATTGAGTTAGGAGGACAACTACAAAAACTTATATTTTTATTCAACTCCATTATCTCAAATTTAAATATGTTTCATATTAGTTAAAAGATAAAAATTTCCACAATTCTTTCAGTATAACTAACACAGAAATAAAGATAGGACGTAAAACTAACAAATTGCTATGTAAAGAAAGTTTCTACTAATTTCTATATGGTAATCTAACAAGAATAAGGTTTTTGCAAGTTTTTTAATCATATTTCATTTAATCATATTTCCTAATTCACCAACATAAAACCTAAAGATAATTCTCTAAGATAAGCATTGCAGTAAGTACCTTATTGTGCCAGTGAACTTTTCCCTCACAGATTTCGATCCTACACACATTATATCTGCCGAAGCCATTCTTCCCATAACCTTTGTCACCTATAAAATAACCAATCAAAGGATCCATAAATACAATTTCACAAATTTTCAAAAAAAATTACATAACATTTTCAAAATAAAAAAAAACTTACTCGAGCGATAACAATGGATCCTGGCTCAGGGACGGCGCCATGAGATTTGTGACCGATGACTTCTACAGTTGAACGCTGCAAAAACATATAAAAGGGACAAAATTATAAAATTCAAAGTTTGGAAAGCCTAATTCTTGCTATGGATAAAAAAAGAAAAACACTAATTCTGAAGTTAAAACCCTGAACCAAAGGTAATGAACCTCGTCAATGGAGTTGATGGCTGCAAAACACAGTTAAAATTTATTTTTTTAAAAAATGTTCGAATATCCTAACCCTGGGTCTCCTTGTTGATGGAGTAGGTCGCCAGAAAACATCAATAGAACAGGAAAGAATTATAAAAATTGAAGTTCGGAAACCCCAATTCTGACGCAAAACCCTAATCCCTACCCTTGTACATGGAATTGATCGCTGAAAAACAGAGTCAAAATGAAAAATTATAATAAAAAAACGAAGTTTGAAGAACCTAACTCCAAATCTAAAACCCTAAACCTGTACTTGTCGGTTGAGCTGATCACTGCAAAACATCAATTAGAAACGGAGAAATTATAACACTAAAAGTCTGAAAACCGTAATTCTGACGCTAAAACCCTAAACCCTAACCTTGTACCAGGAGTTAATCTCTGCAAAGCACAGTTAAAAGGAAAATTTATAAAGCCCGTAGTTTTAAAAACCTAATTTTGAGGCTAAAACCCTAACCTTGTCGATGGAGTTGATTCATACAAAACATTGATTAAAACAAGGAGATGATCGACTTGATTGATGAAAAAATCGATTAAAAACACGAAATGAGAAATTAGGGAAACGGAGTTTGAAAACCTTAAACCCTAACCTTGTCGGTGGAATCAGATTGAGGAGGGATGATGTTGCGGTGACCGGTGAGCGATGCGTGGATGCCCTCTGCCGGCGATCAATTCAGTGGAATCTCCCAAAACCTCACCAGGGGTGACCATATCGTCTTCGACGTCCATTGTCATTCTTCTTCGCTCTCTCTCTCTGCGAATATTTCGAATGGAAGTAAAAGTGGGCGTTTTATTTTGTAGAATGGGATTTTTATATTTAACTTTAGATTTTTTTTTAAGGATACACGGGGGAAAATGTGTCCAGGAACCAAAAGTAGTAACCTCATGTGACTGAACCTTTGTATTTTTGACTCATGTGATTTAGCCTCAAATACACATGGTATTTGTGTTAAGACCCCAAAGCAGCGGCCACGAGAAAAGCCCATCAGAAGTTACAAATTCACCATTTGATTTAACTGAACTAGGTAACTATGCCCCTCCTTACCCAAGTACTCTCTCTCTTCTACCACTGAGGAGCCACCGAAATTCTCGAACCCCAAAAACTCGTCGGATTTCAATCTTGGTTAGGGTTTTCGTCGTGAAAATGGCGTCCAAGGAAGCAACATCTGTTAACGATTATGAAGTCGATCATCACGATGAACGGCAGGACAAAGTCGGAGCCAGATCACAGTCTTCGGTCGCGCTATGAGAATCATCTGAGATTGGCAACGCAGAGGAAGCCACTCAAGCTCTTTCGGTCATGCGAAGTGGTGCAGTAGAATGGCGAGGCAAGAAAAGAAGAACAGCAACGGCTCGTTCCAACGAACCCAAACCTAAAAAGCAATAAGTGCTAGGCTAGGTTATCCAATATTTGGGGACTCGACGAAATTTTCCTTAATTCCATGTTCAAGTTAAGTGTTAGGTCTAGAACAGTGCATAACAGTCCATGCTAGATCTAATTGGAGTTCATCTTCTAATTTCGTGTTAGTTCTACAACAGTGCATAAAAGTCCATGTTAGTTCTAAATTGAGTTCATCTTAGAACAGTGTTAGGTCTTAGAACAGTCCATGTTAGTTCTAATTGGAGTCCATGTTAGTTCTATAATAGTTCATGCTAGTTCTATTAGAAGCTCGGTCGTGTTAGGTCTAATTTTAGTTCACGTTAGGTCTAATTTAACTTGAATATTTGATTTTATTTTCAGGGAAAAAGTTGGTGATGCTGATGCTGGTGAAATAAGTCTAACCGCCAATATTGAGGCTTATTGGGAATTTATGAAGCGTCTTGCACCAAAGATTTGTATGTGGGATAGGGATGCGTATTGTGGAACTATATTTGAGCACTATATACTATTTGGAGCTCCTGCGCCTAATCGCCCCACACTTGAGTTGGTGCTGAGCTATTATGATGGCGATAGTAACACATTTTCTATCCCTGATTCAAAAACTGGGGAAATAAAATTTTTTAAATTTGACTTAGAATGGGTCCATAACCATACCTTTTTCCCTCTTCATGGGGAAATCCTTTCTACCAATCGGGACTCTAAAAACATAATCTGGGTGAAATACTTTGCTAAACTTTTCAAATCTGAAGAGGGGAAGAAGTTAAAAAAAGCACCAATTACCCATCGAAAATACATTGAAGATCAACTAGAAAGTCTTGTGGAATCTATAGAAAAGAAGGATATCCAAGACTTTGTTCTGCTGTAAATTCTTTATCAATGTTCTATGATATGGTGCCCCAGAAGCGGGGAAGGTATCCCTAGACCACTACTCAAGTACCTGGATAGCATTGAGAGGATCAAAGGAGTTGCATGGGCTCAATTTTTTTATACAGAGATTATTAGAGGCATTAGAGTTACTTTGGAGGGCTTGAAAAAGTCAGGAGTTACATATGTTCCAGGTTGCATGCCACTATTGTGTGTAAGTTCCATGTTAAGTCTACTTTGGTTCATTCTAGTTCTAATTGGAGTCATGTTAGTTCTAATTTATACAATGTTAGTTCTAATTGCATTCATGTTAGTTCTATTGCAGTTCATGTTAGTCATATTTGTTGTTCATGCTAGTTCTAATTGGAGTGATGTTAGTTCTATTTTATACCATGTTAGTTCTAGTTGAATTCATGTTAGTTCTATTGCAGTTCATGTTAGTCCTATTTGCAAGTTGATTGAAATCATGCTAGTTCTAATTGGAGTCATGTTAGTGCTATTGCAGTTCATATTAGTCCTATTTGTTGTTCATGCTAGTTCTAATTGGAGTCATGTTACTTCTATTTTCATACCATGTTAGTTCTAATTGCATTCATGTTTGTTCTATTGCAATTCATGTTAGTCCTATTTGCAAGTTGATTCTAGTTCTAATTGGAGTCATGCTAATTCTAATTGGAGTCATGTTAATTAGTTCTATTTTATACCATGTTAGTTCTAGTTGAATTCATGTTAGTTCTACTTGCAGCTCGTGTTAATTCTAATTTGACACGATGTTAGAACTATTGCAGTTCATGTTAGTTCTATTTGTTGTTCATGCTAGTTTTAATGTTAATGTTAAATGTGAGTTTGGTAAATTTGTAATTGTTAGAATGCTTATTATATTTGTTACAGCTTTGGCACTACGTACGAGATGACTGGCATAAAAAAAATACCTATGTCGACAGATTCAGGCCTCCAATGACAAATTGGGCAGTAGAGGGTGACAAAGTCCAATCTATGAAGATGAGGACAATTACATCAAAGGCAAATGCAGCTTCAATAACTTTTGTTCATAGGCCTATTGTGAAAGTTGGGTATGTTCCCTCAAAACATGCACTTCGCAGTAGTAGCATGTTGCCACCCGCAGTACCGAGGGAGGAAGAAGTGCGTAATAAATTTTCTAGTTCTTAATGGAGATTTGTATTAATTGAATTACTTATTACAAATCAAGAATAAAAAAGATTACAACAAAAGCGAAGAGAATACTCTTCTTGTTTAACGTGGGTTCTTCGGTAGCGATAGGACGCCTCCCTCGAATGCTTGCATCGATTTTGCTTTCCTTGCAGGATTCGATCAAAATTACGGTTAAGCTTCAGTACGCAGTAGAAGCTCTTGTGTGATTGAGTTCAATTATACCCGAGCTTGATGAGTATCAAGGCCAAAAGCTTAGAGAGGGCTATAATGCAAGAGTTTGCAGAGAGCTAATGAGTCTCAAATCTGAGAGTTCAGATTGAGTCTACTTTGATGCGGCATAAACATGTACCAAAAATGTTACAAGTGCACAACCTTGTCAAGTTATAGTATTTAAGATATCGATCCACGAGGAAAGTGTTTTGTAGGAGAAAATATAAAATTGGTTCTTATTTTGTGTGCGTGACAAATAGGAGTGATGAGTAAATGTGATTGTGGAGAGATAATGAGATAGTGAAAATGGTGTGTAAATAGGTGCAAGTGTAAGTGAGAGTGGATTTGAAAAAGAATGAGTATGATCAATAAGATGAGAAGGAAAAAATGAATAAAATCAAGAAACAAATAAAAAATCAAGAATGAAGAACAAAATTCTAGAATAAAAGAAAATGCAAGAAATTAAAGATGATGGATTCAATTATAGATATGGATAATCTAATATTGAACCCACTTCTTAGAAAATGGTGATTCCCTAGAGGGTTCTAGCCTAAAGACGAATCAAACAAAATAAAAATAAACAAAAAGAAAAACTAAACCCAAGAGGGTTCTAGCCTCAAGGTGAATAGTGTAAGAAATTAAAATCTAACTACAAAATAAATTACAAAATCTAAACTACAAAATAAAATTGCAAGAATTAAATGCACGAAAATAAATCTACTCTATAAGCATAAAATAAATCTAAGGCAAGAGGGTTCTAGCCTCTTGGCTATTTAATAAGAAAATAAAATCTAACTACAAGCATAGAAATAAATCTAAACTAATAAGCAATAAAAGAGAAAAAAAAAAGAAATGCAAACCTTCAAATAATTCTCCATCTTCATCTTCATCTTCATCATCCAATAAAGAGAAGAAGAGAAAAATTTAAAGTGGTGAAAAAATTATTATTATTAATTGCAACTAAAGTTACAATTTTGGAAGGCCTTCTCAATTAAGAGTAGCCCTCCTCTCCAAAAGGAGTTACAAAAATTTTCACACCTCTAACCCCTCACTCTCAACCCCTATTTATAGTAAACATCAGTGAATGAGAGCCATTGGATCAAACTTGAGCCCCAAGACAAGCAAAATCAGCCATTGACGCGCGCTACAGTAATCTGGCATCGATACAGGCATCGATGCAGGTATCGATATCAGCATCGATGCCCACATCGATGCCGACATCGATACTCATTATTTCCAAATTCTGATTTCACGGATAGCTTCGTCTCGTCGAGATAGGCGATTTTCATATATTATATGTTAAATTCCGCCTTCCGGATTAGGAGATATCGTCGTTTCTTTGTGGCCAACCATTTTGAATATGATTTCTTTTCATAATTCATGTAAAATAGATAATGAGGGTATAAAATTGTAATAAAATGTGATTATCAAATACCCCCACACCTAAACTTTTGCTAGTCCTCTAGCAAAGAAAAATAAAAAAAAAATCCTAACTTACTTTCGCAGGAATCGTGGTTGTATTTAGCGCATACAACAAGCCTTTAAACCCCTAGGTTACCCTAGTGGACGAGTTGTAGTCTCGTGAGGGTTTGCAGTGAATATACCCACAAAATTCGGTCAACTTGCCAAATTAAAGAAGTCAGTAAATAACTAAATTCACTTGATAACTTTTAGATAATCTAATTGGAGCCAGTTATCACTCAAGAAAACATTTTTATATATAACTCTAAGGTATATTTTCAAGAAAATCTTCTCATTGTAGCAATACAAAACCAAGCCAAACTTAGAAATTTAATTTAAAAGTTTTGAAAAGAACATGCTAACTCTTTGTTTTAAATAATTTTCAAGTTGCTTGATTTAAAATATTTTCCAAGACCATATATACAACTATAAAACATTTATTAGTTTTTTATTTTTTTAATTTTTTTTTAACTCTAACTCTTTCTTCTTTGGTGATTTTTTCTACTTTAACGGGCTTTCTAAGTGACCATTTAACGAGTTTTGGGCCAATGGATCCCAACCCAAATGGGCTTAGGTCATTAAGTATGGAAATACTCCTTGGGCTTAATTACTCGGTCAGCTTAGACTTTATAAGATAGAATCACCTCGAATTCAAGAGTTTTTTTTGTGCCCATTTTTCGCACTCTTCTTTTGCAAAATTT